GAAGTAAGTAGATATCAATTGGGAATTTGGTAGTTTTTCTAAAGCGAATATATCCGAATATCAATGAAACTATCTATCAACTCAGAAACTTTGGAAATAAATCCAGAAATTGAAGAAAGTTGCCAAATACCATGCTTCTGAGACTGTTTGCATAATCTGAAGTTTGAAGCATAAGGCTCCAGCACAATCTTCAAAATATCTTCAGAAGCTCTAAACTTACCCTAATCCAAAACAAGAAAAAGAAGAAACACCTCATATGGAAAAACAAAAAACAAAAATCCCCCCACTTAGTCTGACCAACAAAACAATTTACCTTCTAATTCAATAAAAACAAAAATACTTAACTCCTAATTTGTAGCTGTTCATCTTACAATTTCTCTTTTTCTCTGCCCAGAACAGTACAATTTCTCTAACAACTGAGGAGGAAGATGACAGAAAGACTAAAGATTCAATCTTTACACATCTTACCTCCATACAAACAAAACCCAGAAAGGAAATTCAAAATAATATTTATAAAACTCACAATTAAAGCCTCAAAGTTGCCTATTATTAAAATAAAAAAGCCACAAAGTGGCCATAAAACATGCAACACTGAGTCCTGACACCCTGAAAAACAGTTCAACCCATATATAAAATATACAATAAAAAAAAATTACTAGAGGACCAATTGTTTTCTCTTACCAGATGATTTGGATCCGAGGAGAAGCAAGCAGCACAGAAATCAAATGCTCACAGATTAGCAAACACCCACAAGCACTGATAAAAAAAAAGCAGCTTATTTGCAACACATTGAACACAGTTTTACTCTCAAACTTTGAGCTTATTCTCCCAACCGCAAACTTTAAGCACCAAGAAGACTGAAAGAAAGGTCAATAAAGGAAGGGAAAGAAAAAAGATGAAAGAATAACCAACCAAGCACATGGAAAAGCAGAGACAAGCAACATAGCCGCCTCCACCACCACCACTAACACCTCCACCGCCACTAATGCTCTCACACGTCTCACAATACTAGCTTTCGAATTCTCTGGTTTTTTTTCAAGAAAATGGCGCAACGGTTCTAGGCAGCCATTGAAGAAAGAAGAAGGAAATGGCGGGCGTGGGTGGAAAAAACAGAACTTCTATGTTCTCGTTTTGGGGTCTGAAATGGGTTTCGCAAAGTCCCGGGTTTCATCAATGTGGGCGGGGACCCACTTCATATTTTTCTAGGCCACTACATTGACAAAAATAGCTGCTTAAGAAAACGTTCATGACTCAGTTTAGTAGTATTTATCTTCGTTTTTAAGTGAGAAATTTTAGGTTAGATATTAATTAAAGGAGAATTTGAATCAATTATTGCTAATTATTGTGTAAATAATATCGTTTGTTCGAAAAATAATAAAATGTTTATGAGTTTTGTGTGTCATGGTTGATTCTATCTTAGGAAGAAGATTGCTTTAGTGTTTACGGATGAGTTTTTGTTGAAGAGGAACATATCATATTGTTATGTTCTAGGGTTGAAATTTGTCAACTATTCTTGTTAGATTGTGAATATACAGCTCCATGATCAAACAAATTATAAACTAAGAGAGGGTTATTGTTAAATCACTTACCTAACCTATGATTTTGATTTGTTTAGTTTAAGAATTAGAGAGTGGTATAACAGAACAAAATTATTGCATTTAATGAAACATTTGGTTTAGTGACTAGTCTGGTTTGATAATTTCACTTTATAAACAATTATCGTAAATATTTTATACTCTCTTATGTGCGTATATTAAAAAAATCATTGTGTGATGGATTGAATAATTACATTTACACTTATGTGAGACCCAACAAACAAAATTACAATTCGCAATTACCCAGTAACGAGTCAATTGAAATATTATATTTTGTGGGAATCTGAATTTGGTACATTACAATTTGAATTTTTAATATTGGTACGAGCTTATCCCTTTACTGTTTGGTATGGTTAAAAAATAAAGAGAGAGTTGGATAGAGAGAGGGAAAAGGGCGTTTAGTGGGTGAGCTGGTGCGCATGATACTGAGAAAGCCAAAGAACTCCGCTGCGTAGGTCATAGTGGGCCCAACTACTCCTAACCAACTAAGAAGACGCCACATCAGCAAATTGCCTCTGCTTGCTTCGAATTTTGGCTATCATTTTTTATGCGTTGGACGTCCACATGTGAAGAAGAGATTTATGCGTACACTCTACGAATGCTTTGTCACGCTGATGTTTTGTAACAATAAGATAAATATGTGTGTATGTTTTTTATTCACATGTTTTTATTTTATGGATAATGCTAGAGAGATTAAGTTTGCAATTTAAATGATGTGTCATCAGTAAGAATAAACATGTTCATCAACGTTTAAATAATTAATTAATTATCAACTTCCATGTTTTTTAGTTTTCAAAACTTTGTTTATAAATTTAGTCTCCCTAGCATTACCCAATTAATTGACACAAAATGCTGAGTGGTTATGTATTCGTGCCATGAAAATTGTTATATGTATTAGAGAAGGAATTCTTCTTTCAATCAGTGACACTATGTGATAACTATTTAACAGACAATCATTCATATCATCAATTGTGCCATTAAGATAATAAATTTATTGTAAGAGTATTCGCATAAAAAATTACCGTTGTATCGTGTTATAACACAGATAAACAATATAATTGACAAGAATACAAAATAAGAATAACGTAGGAGATGGTCAAGTACATACATACCTATGGGTTCGATCTTCCTAGTGACCACCTACCTTTACATTACTACATTCTTTCCCGTTATATTATTTTTTTGTTTCTATTTTTATATATTTGTGTATTTATTACTCATATTAGTTTATTTAATGTGTTCATGTTATCCTTCCCTACTTATTTATTATTCAGGCGGTGGATAATATTTATTAATCTAATGATTAGATCGGCTATCACCTCAATAGATTTATTTCCAGCATTCAATGGTTATGATGTTGCAATCAAAAATATAAATTATGGTTACTTAATTCCCAAAAATTATTATTTTATTGACTTCCTACAATTTTATAAATACACCCACTTTTTAAATTTATATGTGCTTCTTATTCTACCCCAACAATCTTATCTTATGAATATATACCCAATTAAAATTTAAAAAACTAAACACTTACATCCACCGTCCACAATCTTTATTGTTCCTCTCTCATCAGCCACCACCATGACAGTCACCTGCATCATTCCGGCGATGCAAGCAACGAAGGTGGTGAAGGTCAAACTTATTCTAACACACATTAATATGTTTTTGGTATTTTTCCAAACATGGGACGAGTTCAAACTTATAATATTTTTTCAACATTTTGAAAAGAAATGTCATTAACCTATTTCTATTGTTAGACGTCTATACACTCTAATTTTATGCAACTGTACGTAAGCTTAGTCAAGTTGTAGAGAATATTGTGCTCTACCATCTGCATTGAAGTTTAAAATCGGTTCCAGGGATAGGCGCGTCCCACTCTATTTGTCGCACCAAAAGTGGGACGAACTAGTTCTATCCCACTGTGTTTTGTCCCACTTCACCTACCAAACGCAACCTTAAGGCCTCGTTTAGTATAGAATATTAGGTTGGAATAAAATAAAACAATATTTTCAAGGCAAGTTAAGGGAATTAAACAAGTAAATAAAGTTTATTTTACTAAAACAATTTGAGTCCAGAATTTTTCTGACCACCCTCTTTTGAATCTCTGTTTTCCCCGTGCTCAATAATAAGTTAGTAACTACCAACTACACAAAGAAAAAGCTGGTTCACATAACAACCAAAGAAAAATTGAATATCTATAACTACATATGTAACAAATTGAACATAGGTTGTTTGAAATTGAACATGGTGGTTGTTGGTCTCTATGCCTAATTTCCCAAGGGAATTAGTGACTTATAATAAATAAAAGAGAACTGCTAAAGAGACTCTCTTAAAGTAGGATTGTCCAGAAACTCTTTGAAATTTTATAGTTTAACATTAATTTCCGTGTCAACATTATAAAACATTGTACTAAAAAATGAGATGATAGAGAGTCTATGAATAGTCCATTTTTGAAAGAGTTTTTTATGGCATCCCCACTAACACAAAGCATTTGGGATGGCATCTATCCCCTATCCTATTTGCATAAAAAAAGCTTTTCATGTAGATATGCTTTTCTTGATATATGATGGCAATTTGACCTAAGGGTTCCACCACTAGGAAATTAGGTTACAAATTTCCCTCTAATATATGATGATACTTTGTTTTAACTTGAATCGATTTAATGTGGTTGTTTGTTTGTATAATTGATCATGGAAACTAAACAAATTATTAATGATCATGCATATGTAACTTATAACAAGTGTTTTTATAAGTCTAAATATAATGATATTTAGTAAATGATACGTTAAATTTGAAAAAAAATAATATATTTTTTTCTAAAAATGAGCTAACTGATGACTTCACAATGACAGTCCACCATTTTAAACTTGGGAATACTCACAAAAGCATTTGAAAAGAATAATTGAATGTATAAGATTTAGATCACACACAATAATATCGACATCTTTTAGTTTCAATTCATGTACTGGTTTTACCAATCCGATTCCCTAAACTAAGAAGAATATCAACATATTTGGTGCTTTTTGGAATCGTAAAAATTTGTAATAGAATTCATTTAGCTTGCATTAATCTTCATTCCTACCTTAAAAACTCAAATTGTGATAGCCCGTCCCGAACGTATATATTATTTTATCCTCAAGAGTGTGGAAATTTCTATTATGCCTTTTAATTGTTGAGTCGTGTGTGTGTATAGGCTAAGGTTTTGGACCAATTAGTTATATTCCTAATTAATTGGACCTAATTAGAACTAAAAGGCCTAAGTTTTTGGTTGATTGGCTGCAAACTGGACCACACACACACACACACACACCAACCAATCCTGTTGACCCTCTCTCTCTCTCCTCCCTCTCGAATTTTCTTCCATTTCAATACAACTGTATGGACAACCTCGAACCTAGCTCACTAATCACAAATCAGGGTTTTGGTAGTTGTTTTCGTGCTCCTTTCAAGCTCAGGAGTCGAGCAATACTTTTGGTTGGAACGTGAGGACGTCGGGAACTCGGGAACCAGGAAACCCCCAAAGAGGTGCACAATGACTCAACGTGATCGCGAAGGTTTCAGGTAGTTTTGAGACTTAAGAAGGCTCTATTCTTGCTCTTCTAGTACTTTGGAATAATTTTGGAAGGTTTTGGACGTTAGGAAGCTCGGGTTTGACAAGTTGCAAGGTGGCCGGATCATCGTGACTTTTTCCGGCGACTTTCTGTTGGTTTTAGGTCCCCAAAGTGGTAAGGAATTGTTCCTCTCATCCTAAGCTTCAATTTGGTACAAATTTCGTGAATTTTGGTTAAGAAATGAATAAGATATTGAAGTTTAAAGTTTTTCCAGAATTCGGCAATCGCAGAGGTCATCGGCGCCGGACTCTGGCGAACCAAGGTTGAAGGAGGAGAATATTCCGTCAAAGTTGACGGAATATGCTAACGGCGTTAGGTATATATAACGGTATATGCTAGTATTTAACGGAATATTCCTTAACACCGTTAGGGGGCGTTTGTTGCACCGGACTATCTTGGACTGGACTAGCTGCAGGGACTAAGCTGGACTAGCTTGGGCTAGACTAAGCTGGACTATCTTAGTGAAGCGTTTGATGCAGTGTCGGACTAACAAACTAAATAATATTTTTCTTTTCTTTTCTTTTTTCCATTTTCTTTTTCTTTTTCCTTTTCCTTTTCCTTTTTCTCGAACACTCTTCCCTCTCCTTTCTCTCAGTTTTTCAGAACTCTATTTCCTAAACACTCTTTCCCTCTATTGAAAATAGGTTAGTTTTTCAGAAATCTCTCTCTTTGGGATTTGCAATTTGCGATTCGAATCTGGGTTTCACGATTCGAAGGTTGGTTTTGCACTTCCACTGAATCTGGGTTTTTTTATTCCATCAAATTTGTGCAGATGTGTGGAAGACTGAGATGAAGCTGTGGTTGCAGATAGAAGTGGGCATCGGCCATGGTTGTTCACATGCCAAGTTTTCTGTCTATGTCTACCGGCGAGGGCCCAGGCGTACTCGAAGGTGAACGGACGACGACAAGAGCAGAGAAAGCAGAGAGGAGAGAGAGAGCACGACTTGATTCTAGGGTATTCGAGATTCAAAACGAGCAAACGAAGAGATGGAGATTCTGGGTTCTCTGCGATTATGGGTTCTGGGTTGGTGGGTGTAGGCGATGTTGGCGAAGCGAGCAGACGAGGTCTTAACAATCCCATGGTTTTTGGGGGGTCTCGCTAAGACCTCTTAATGAAGGAGATAATCCACGCGAGTCCCGGTTTATCCCATTAAACTTAGTCCGTGTAAGTAACAAACACGGGACTACACTAGCGTGTAGTCCAGTCCAGTCTAGTGAAGGTTAACGAGCCCAAACAAACGCCCCCTTAGGGAATTTGTCAGTGTGCCAAACACATGCCTGCGAGTGGGCCGCGCGTCTGGCCGTGCCTTGGGCGGCGCATGAGTGCTCGGAATAATTTTTTTTTAAATATGGGGATGTTCCTAAGGTTGAGTAGGTCATGGTGGTATATTCAAATACCCTAATTGAGGAATGTATGAGAAGTTATTACCTAATTTTGTGTATGTGCTTTAAAATAACGTTTAAATAGTTATTTTGCATATAGGTGAGACCTATCCTGAGGACGAGAGTAGTCAAGCAAGGCTCGAGGGTTACAACCCTTCCACATAGTAATGAGTGGGCTTTTGGTTTTCAATATATACTTACATACTTATATACTTGATATGTTTCTCAGAAAATATGTTTAAATGAAATTATGTTTTGAAATGCCATGCCTATTGATTTATGCTTAGACTATGAATTAGTATAGTAATTGCATATATCTATGTTCGACGATGTGGATGCTCAGGTAAGTTGTAGATTGTTATGTGAATTGATGATTATGTGAGATGTTTTGAGAGCTCATAAACCTGCACCCCGGTGTTAATGCTCCCGTCCGTGGTTAGGGCACAATCCTTCACGTGATGTTCACCTCCCACACCATACGCTCACCTTGGATCCAAGTTAGGTGCACAGTCTTGTTGTACATAACGCTTTAGGTGGTTCCGACTCGTAGGTGACCCACGATTATTCGCACAGTCTTCACGTGATTGTAGCACTATAGTGTATTCATTTACACCCAGTCCTGTCGTACAGACCACATTAGGTGGTTCCGACTCGTGTGCATGCATACTTGTTGAGCTATAGATTCAGCCATACATGCCACTTTAGGTGGATCCGGCTGGTATGTTATATTTCATGAATTTATTTCACCCGAGTCACTTATTATGTTATTTTGAGATATTTGGTATGGCATACTCATGAATGTCGCTATTCTGAGCATGGTTTTGAGTTATGTATATAGATTCTATTTTCTTGGAAATTATACAGGTTTTACGGCGAGGGGTTAGAACTTTTGATAAATGAAATGGTTTTGAAAAGCTTTGTTTTTGGCCACTCACACTTTCTGTTTTGCGCCCCTTCAGGTTTTAGGTAGAAGTGCTCGTTGTTGGCTCACAAGGAACTCACGGCAACTCTAACAGATTATCTAATGTAGGACCATAATTAATACTGTATAATTAGTATTCGTCCTACTGGACTGCACTTAGGCTACTTATGCTTTGATCATCGCACTTACACTTTACCTTATTTAGTGTCCTAGTTGGTTTGGTTTTTTTTTTTTTTTTTATTTATTCGCATTTCCTTATATTAATATTGCTTCCGCACTGTGCACATGGCTACGTCACTCTCACGTGACGGCCAGCATGCCTCGATCTAGGTCGGGGTGTGTCACAAATACTGTAGAAAAATATAATTAGAATAAATCTTTCATTGATATGGAAATTTTATATATACATTACATACCCTTGTGCAACAACAAATTCTCCTACAATTCAGGAGTACAATTACAATTGTAATTCAATTCTAACTAATTTACTATATTTGTCTTAACATTGAAGAGGTGATGTCAAGAGCTCCCAACTTGCGTAATATAGTTGAAATTTCTCCTTTCCGAGTAGCTTCGTAAACAAGTCTGCTAGCTGCTAAGACATATCAATATGTCCAGTAGCTATCGTGTCATCATAATCATATCAAGTATTAAATGACGGTCCATCTCAATTTGGCAAGTTCGCTCATGAAAATAGAATATGAAAACAACCTCTCGATCTGAGTTTGGCTCTCCATCTAAGAAACATAATATGATTCTACTTCAAACGCTAATCGGGAGGTTGTTTTGGATAAAGAAGTTTATCAATGTCCTTGTAGATGTTCCTACCATTATATCACTAATGTCATTATTAGATGATTCGAATGGGGAATTAGCTCAAGTCAAGAAACTATGGTTTCATGAGTCGTCCAAACAAAAATCTAAAAGCATTATTAAAAGATTAGAGAATCTGCGAAGAAGAAGTTTCAAGTTTAAAGAGTTAACATTGAAAAAAATGTAGGGAGCCTAATCACTAACACAATGTGACAAAAGAAACTTAATCGACACCTAAATAGTTGAAGTTGGAGATTCTTGGAGTTGTGCCCTAAAGGCAATTTCGTAATATTATATTATGTAACAGCTCCATTTTTAACTAATTAATAATAGGGTTCATTCATAGGTTTAGCTTTATATTATATTATATTATGAATGTTTCCACATGATTTAGGTGTGTAAGCAATGTCCTAAACGAGATTAGGGCAATGAGACTTGTATTCCATGTCACTTAGCTCTTAAACAAAATTCGTAGCCATTTGGAAAGTTAACTGGACATTGAATATCCGGAAAGGCCGGTGTATATTGCATTAAGGTTAGCAGGGTCTCGTGCTACGCTTGTTGGACACGTGGTGAATATACAAATGTTTATCTTTTGAACAAGTTCACTGAACATTGATGGGCCAAAAAGTTTAAACGTATGGATATGCTTACTGTAGGAACCAAATTCGCGCACCTCCATGAGTAGTGGTCAAGCACAAATTCAAGCAACCTGCATAAAACAACCATGAGTAAGCAAGGGTCGGGGAGGGGGGGAGGGGGGTGTCGGCTAAAGGCTCTTCGACAGTCAAGTTAGTGAATGATTTTAGACTTAAGCAGTGGACAAGAGAATTCAAGCATTTAGTTTGCGTTATCATAGTTGAACCCTAAATGGGTGTATTTATACAGTGGGGAGATAGACCTTTTTAGGATAGAATCCTCGTTCTAAGTTGGGATAATCCTATAGGATACCTAGAAGTAGATATTGCATCCTCTTAGGAGTTGTGATTATTTACGGTGCACACCAATTGCTAGATGGTAGAAACCCCAAGACTTATAGGATCTAATTGTGTCCATATTCAGATCAGATCGCGTGTCTTGCAGAACAAGCATGGTCATCTAGTAGGACTCAACCTAGTGTCCATATCCGGATAAGAAATTGCATGAGCTGTTGGCAGTCATTATGAGTGCCACAAGTGCAGGAGCGGGTATCGCTGTAGGAGGCGAGTTCACCCCAGAAGTCTTTAAGGCGGGTGAAGTAGGCAGAGACGAAGGAGGAGCCTTGGGAAATGGTGGCAAGGTCATGGTTGAGTTGGAAAATACGGCGGCGTTGCTTTGCAAAAATCTCTCTTCAAGATCGGCTCATATGACTTTAGCAGATGTGGAAAAAAGGATGAATTGTGCGAGATCAAGCTCCATCGAATGAATAATCCAAGAGAGGATCATGTCATCGCAGCACCGCCAGGCAACATGTGCATCGAGATCTTTTGAGGAAGACGGCTCCTTGACATCGCATTTGATCAAACCAAGCTTGTTCTTGGCGCTCAAAGAAATTTGGATACCGCGTCCCCAAGTCGTGTAGTTGTCTCTATTCAATTTCTTGAAGATAAGAATAAGATTTGGGTGATAGGAATGGTGAAGATAAAAATGGTCGGTGCATTCGGAAGGAAAATCGTCCATGGTGAGGAGAAAATAGGACGACATGGATGGCTTCCGGAAAAAAAAAAAAAAATGAATTAGCATTTGAAACCTGCCCTGCTACCATGTAAAATAAATATAATTGGCTGGAATAAATATTTCATTTATACAAGAACAAAACATATACAATTACATATCCTTGTACAACAAACAAAATTCTTCTACAATTACAATTATAATTCAATTCTAACTAATTTACTATATTTGTCTAACAAATTCACATCTTCCACTCATTAATATTGGCAACCCATTAATACATATATATGAATTAGTTACTTTCTCTTGTTAAACTTGCTATATATCATGGCAATTTCTTACACGACCCCTTAACCCGGTACGAAATGATACGAGAATGACAAGTTTTGAGTCAACCCGTTAATAATACATTAACAAATCTGGTCGTTATTAGGTCACCCTTAAGGTAACGGGTATGGTACAAACGTGACCTGTTTGCAAGGTTTAGACATTAGACATGATAATTTCTTGCATAACACATTAACTTGACACGAAACGACTCAACCTGTTAACTAGCTGGTCATTATCGAGTCACCCCGTTAAGAACCTGTTAACA